AGGGAAGAGAATTGTGCAGAAAGAAATGAGAATTGATAAATGGTTTCAAAATGCTTTGAGGTCAAAAGCCTGGGCTTCAATCTGCGTGGCTGTCAACAAGTGGACCCCTGGGCTCCATTTGTTCATCTGTGAAATGGTCTAGTAATGGTACCTTCGCCACGGGTTGTGGGGATATTAAATAAAGTATTACATGTAAACTGAATATTATACTATCATATCTGGAATACAGTGATCATTCAATACTTTTTTATTGGTATTACATAATAATATCTTTAAAATAACTAATTCTGGAAGGTGATAAAGATTATTTTTATTTTGTGTACTTTCCAAGTTTCCCCCAATCAACACACAATCCTTTAGCGAACAAAGCAATTAACTTTTTAAAGGGGAAAAGCATTGTAACTGTATACCCTTTTTATGACAGATACATTTGAAATTCACTTTCTTCTTTCGAAAGGTCTTCTGCGTTTTAAGCATCGCTTAATTGAGATTGCTCGACTGGAAGGTTAAAATCTACAGACTTTCCGGTTCAATGCGGTAACACAGGAACTGTAAAACCCTACCGTTAAATAAGCGTGTGGCATTTTCTTGCTAATAAAACAGATATTGAGATAGCTGTTCGAGTTAATAGTTCAAATCAATCGTGACAAGAGGTAGATCATGTATGATTAATGAGATGTAAAAGTTATATAAACAAACATTTCTACAGAAGAACAGGACCGGTTGCTGTATGCTGGATGCCTCTACAGGCTGACAAAGCTCGAGCGGCCTCAGAAAACCGAGTGAGGCTCTGGCCGCGGGAGGTCCGGGCCACCGCCCCCAGGAAACCGCTTTTCTCTCTGCCGTGTCCGGGCTGAAAGCACAGCCCACAGTAAGGTGCGTAGCAACAGGAAGGAAGTGGTTCATCACATTTTTTAAAAGAAAAAGCAAAAAATGGTTTTAGAAGGCCGTCCGGATGGTCTCCCCAGATGTGCATAACTCCTAGGAGGCCCCGCTCCCCAACAGGTGCAAGAGCACAGCAATCGGTTAACGTCACTTGTACAGCATCTGTGGGCCAAGCTGTGGCGACGAGGCCTGGATTGTTGATCCTGTGGCTCCTCACTGTTGAATCTGACGCTGCATCTTGGGGGGAGGGGGGGAGCCCCATTCTAGCAGTACAGATATGTGCAAAGGGAAACAATGGTCCATGGGACCCCCGGATGACATAAATCAAAGCTACTGCAATTAAAGGGATCAGCTGTGTCGGAAACAACTGATCAAAAGGAACTGAAAAGAATCGCAGCTGATGAAAGAGACAAAACCCTGTCTCCCTGTGTTGCTCACCCACTGCTGCGAAACAAACGCAAAGCAAAGCCAAACTCCACAGCTCAAAACACAAATCAGGTGCTGCGGGTGATCCTGCAGCGCAGGCTCTGCTGCACAGGGCGGTCGGTCGGCTGCTCCGGCCTGAGGTCGCCAGGCGGCCGCGGCCACAGACAAGCCGTGGTCCCGAGGACAAGCTCCCCGGCCGCACCTCCGAGCCTCCGTTTCCGTGGTGCTCGCTGAGATCCCACTGGCTGGGAGAAGTCACAAGGCCACACCAAGGGTCAGGGTGGGGACTACAGGAGCTGGGGGCCAAAAGGCTTGAGTCATGGGTGCTGGGTGGGGAGGGGACATTAGCTCACAGGCTACTGAAGGCCTGCCCCCCGGGCCCAACGCATCGTGTCCCGCCCGCATGCGAAACCTGCGCAGCCTCGCCAGCAGCCCCGAGTCTCCTCTGACTGGTGCAGGAGGATCAGAGTCTCTCGCCTCCAGACACGCCCCAGGTCTGGGCGCGGATTTGAGTCTCAGCGCCTTGAATCAGAGGCTCTCGAAGTAAAAAGACAAATGCTCTGTCCCTCAGGCATCCAGCGCACAACGGGAAGAAAGGGACCGGAGAGCCAGAGGGAGAAAAGGAAAGAACTGGGCAACACAGAAGTCACCCGTCCACCAGCCGCTGCTGTCAGGGCCCCCGCCCCAGGGACAGAAATGCCTTCCCATTAGGTGAATGTCCCTCATCTAACGCCATTGAACAGCTGAGACTCTAACACCTAAAGTCTTTAAGGTGTGGTTCTGTTCAAGGGGCGCGGGGCATGCAGCCTACTCTCAGATGGTCCCACGTCCGCGTGTGCATGTGTGTATACGTAAGTACCTGCATGTGTGTGCACACAGAAACATGGGCACACCTCTGACATGTAGGTTTAGAGAGCGGCAGAGAAGGAAGGAGAGGGAAGACAAAAACACAGAGAAAGGATAATAGGAATGTGGCCAAATTCTGAAAACCGGTGAGTCTGAGTCGAGAGCCCGTGGGAAGTCGCTGCAGGAATCTCACAACTTTCCTGAAGTCTGACGTTACTCCGACATTAAAAAAGAGCCTGATGAAGTCGGCATTTAATAACGGCCAGAACCCCGGCGACATAAAGCAGAAGTGCGCTGCTGGTCGACCGCGGGGGGAGCCCAACGTCCACGAGGGACGTCACAAAGGGACCACGCGCTGTCTGCTCCAGAGTCGCGGGTGTCGCCTGCTATAAACACAAGCTGATCCATCTGAATTCTCTATCAATGACAGGCTGCGGAATGACATGGAAACAGGCATCATCCTAAGGGGCGAACACCTCGGGTGAGACTTTGGAGCCAGAGGTAATTTGGGAGGAAAGCGCACGGGGAAGCCAAGGCACGTTTTGGCATTAACTCCCGGCCGCTTTCAAAGCCAGCCGGGCCCACGGAGGGGCCCAGAGCACGAGCCAGCAGCACCCAGGCCCCGCGGGCGCGCCTGGTGCTCCCTGGCGCCTCGGAAGTTCACCCTCGGTGGTTAGCATCACCCTCCCCAACTCCACGTTAAAGTCTGGCGCGTAAAACACAAGGTCTCTCTTTCCTGGGGAGTCTATTTGCATCTAGGTCTCAGAATTCAAAATAATAGTTACGATCTATAATAACTGTTGCATATTAAGCCCGAGGTCGGTTTCAATTTTTTAAGAGAAGAAAATAAATAAATGTGGCAGAGAAAGGGAGAGCGTGAGCCTCTTTGTTTGCTTTTCTGACAGTGCTTTTAATTTTAAGCTCAGCGGGAAACGAGATAACGACCCCAGAGAGCCAGGTAGGAGTCTAAGAGGTTTATTGCAAACCAGTTTCTTCGGGATCATTTGCAGGTCGAGCAGAGGAAGGCAATTTTGAACCAAGGGATGCGTGTGGCTGATGAATGAGGACCTCGGTGCTGATTAAACTCTGTTTCCCCCGGCATCCTCTAATTTCCTAATGTACTCTGCGTACATCTTTCTCTGAAGTCGGAGCGAGAGAGAGTATCGTGTAGCAATGTTCTCAAGCCTTTCCCCTCTGGCTGTGCAACATGGAAACAGAAAAGCAATACAATGTATAAAAATTATGTAGCAACAGCAGCAAACACGGGACAATGTGCTCATTTGTAGCGTCTTAGCTCCCGATTGGAGACACCTGTCTGAGGGAGGCACCTGTCACCGAGGCCAGGGACCCTGCTGCGGGCACCCACTCAAATCAAATCCCAGCTCGGCTGTGGGGGCTGTTCAGCTATTCTCCGGGCACCTTTTACTCCAAAAGCCTCTGCAAGCGCCTGAGCTCCCGACATGAATAACTGGATTCGGCCGACATCAATTCTCTGTAGTTTCCCCTGTGTGCAAGATCAGTCTTCATTTCCAGAGTTTAATTAGGGCTGAGTAATGTGGTGCTTCTTTAAAAAAATTCCCCTTTAACTTAACCTTTCAGCAGCCCACGGGAGTGAGTCATGGGCACTCACGGGGGAAAGGCCAGTGCATAGTCATTAACCAACCATTTTTGCAGGCGTACCTGTGTGCAGAGCGTGGCAGGGGGCATAGCTCATCCAGGCCGATGGACATGCCAACACAACGGTATTTTTTAAAATTCAGATGTTTTATAAACTATTTTCCACTGAATTCTATTACTAAAAAACGGTATTTTCATTTACGACTTACCTTCAACTAGCTGTGACGCCCCACGTTTGATCACCTCTATCCTTCTTGCCAGATACCTAATGAATTGTAAATTAATATTGGAAACCTAAGCTACAAAACGACCACTGAGGACTGCGTAAAAAGTAAAGAATCATAAGAAGGAAGCCTGCAAACGAGCTTCTCTTAAACTGGAAGTCAACAGAATTTTAAAAATTCTGACATGAACACAGCACAGCTCTTATGCAAAATTTGTGAGTCAAAGTGAGTCTGCGGTGCAGCTGGAACAGTATTTATTCAACAAACTCCAAGGGACCGGAGTTATGTGTCCCCTTAATGAGAGTCAAACTTTCAGTCCTTGGGTTTCCTTAAATAACGTGTCTACAGGTTGCAGAGCGACCTTTAAGGAAAGCCATTCCAAAGAGACGGCCCAAGTGTCCCAGGGCTATTTCTAACCTCAAGACGCCTAAAAGGGATCAATCCATTCCGGAATTCAGTGACTCGGGTTTCAGTCTGTTCCAATTTTGTCAGTCTCGGACGACAAAGTCCAGCGGTGTTCTAGGTAGACTGGAAGGTTTAAAAAACTAGTGTTCAGATCACCTCTGAAAGCAACCATGTGAGCTTGGAAGAGGTGTGGACTCACCTATTCACAGCTCCCCCTGCCCTCCCACCTTCGCCACGTCGGCCCTGGGGGGAGACGTGTACGTCCTGGTCTCAGTGACTTTGGGTTTTGCTGGGTGACTTGCTTGGACCAACGGGATGTGGGCAGAGGAGAGGAAGTTCTGAACCGGGGCTTCAGGGGTTTCTGGCGTTTCCACTCTGCCTCTCGTCTCCCGCGACCCTCGTGAGCAGAGCCCACCCCGGGTGGCCACGGCTCCTTCCGTGGGGGCCCACGGGGAGGGACACGAAGCTGAGTGAGGCCAGCCCGTGGCCTGGAGTGACTACGGTCAATCCCCAGACTCATGGGTAAGACGTAAAGGTCTGTGCGGGCGCTCTTCCTCTCTGTGCTATTTTTTTCCTCGCCTCTTGCTCCCTGCCTTCTCTCTCACGCTTGTAAACCTTGGCAAGAGGACACCCCCACGCACGCAGGGCGCTCCTTCCCGCGAGTCGGCCGGCTGCCGCGCACACGAGGCAAAGGTCAGGCTCCGAGGGCGCGGGCGCAGCCCCGGCCCCTGCGGGATGCCCGGGGGCTTCCAGAGGCCCCACGCCCTGCCAGCCGGTCGCTCACACTTGCATCATTAGGTAAACCTGAAGACAGGGATGTTGCCCAGCTTTCTTGCCCAGAATTCTGCGGCACCCCGTGGTCCGAAAGGCGTTCTGTTCATCAAAGCTGCGCGGAAGGAAAGATGCCCTCGAACCTGCTGAGTCCATCAAGAACCACGTCTCACTCATGTCATTTCTACCCCTCGTTTTAAGTAGGACTCAGCGACCTCTGCTGAAATGGTAAACCGACGACCTATTACTCTACTGGGAAGTGGTCTAAAATTCCCAAGCTGTCGTCACGACTGTAATCAACACACAGCTCTTTCCTTTCTCCCCGGCCTACGCTTCCCCCTTTTATTCTGAGAAATGTCACCCCGTGTGGCCCTGAAAGCCCAAGGAACGGCGTGATTCAAATGGATGCGGCCGCTCCCTCCCGCAGCCCCCGCAGGCCAGGAGCGTGCCCCTGCCCCGGGCCTCACGGCAGCCCAGCCTGCGGGCCAGAGACGCTCTATCTTTGCTGAGTCACTCACGGTCCTTCCTCAAGGCTTTTCAAAGTGCAATGAAGACAGGAGGGGACCTCTCCCTCGGGTGGTGACGACATTAGGCACCTGGAGGCAGGATGCTGGCAGCAGCCACGCGCCCCGGGCCGTGGAGAAAGGTGGTCGGCGGGAATGCAGCCAGGGTGCAGCCAGGGGCAGACGGTGGGGGCCCTGGCAGCACTCCCATCCCTGACGACGGCCACCCCTGCCTTCCTCCTGGGTACAGAGAGCCTTCCGATAAATTCCCCCCGTCTATCTGAGTCAGTTCAAGCTGCTTCTCTGCAACCAGTAGCCAAGAAAATTCTACATAATATATCGAACAAGCTACAAGGTAGCAAATTTGAATTCTTGGGAGTAAGGTCCAGGAATACGTTACGAAATTCTAACATGCCTGCAGCAAACTTAGTGTTAATCAGCAGGCTGACATCTGAGAATGATGCCACTTGCCCTGGCTGGCGCGGGTCAGTGGTTAGAGAGCCATGGCTTCCGATCCCCTGCCAAGGGCACGTGCCTGGGCTGCAGGCTCCATCCCCGGGCCCGTTGGGGAGCATGCGGGAGGCAACTGGTCGATGTGTCCCTCTCACATCAACGCNGGCTGCAGGCTCCATCCCCGGGCCCGTTGGGGAGCATGCGGGAGGCAACTGGTCGATGTGTCTCTCTCACATCAACGCTTCTCTCTCTCTCTCCCTCCCTCCTTTCCACTCTCTCTAAAAATCAATGGGGGAAAAATATCCTTAGGTGAAGATTAACACACAAAAAAAGAAATGAAGACACTACTTAACACTTTCTTCATAAGACAATCGATTCCTAATGTTTTGTAGTCGATTTAGTAAATTTTCTCTTAACAGAAGCCATGACTATGGAGGGTCAGTGGGTAAATGCTGGGCTGAGAACGTGACGACTGGGACACCCCGGCTGCCAGGTGACCCTCTGGAATATTAGATCCAAGGGCAGGGGGTTTCGTGTTCTGGGAAAACCCATGTCAGGTAGAGATGGTCATGCAACGAGGCACCGCTAATGAAATTGGAGAAAGTCGTTATTAACGTGATTGCCTGTTGCCAGAAGACACAGACCTACTGACGGATTCAAAGGGATCCAAGGAACAGAAACGGACTTGGGTGCTGGCGGGCAGGGCAGTTTTAATCTCACGGGAAGGTGCTGATTCAGAAGCTCAACAAAGAGAGTCGGGCCTGCCTAAGGCCTGGGTCTAAGGCGAGGCCGCGGGGGACTCAGCACGAGAGGCGGGCCTTCCTTGGCCTCTCCCGACTGTGGCTGCTCCAGGAGGCCTCATAAGGAACGTCAGTCGAGTTCCATTTCAGCTCTAGGTCTTCTTAAAACCTCTCAGTTCCCGGCACTGAGCTGATATAAGAAAGCTCGTCTCCAGCGCCCGAGGAACAGCGAAGCGTGTGCTGTAAGAAGGAAGCCCCGTCGTTAAGTGTCACCTGCATGGACGCTCCTTCCACCCTCGCCACGCAGGCCACCCGGTCGAGGAAGGTCACCGCCACAGGCACCGCCACGAAGAAGCCCTTACAGAAGGCCCTGAAGTACCGTTTCGCCCAGCCGCGGGCCTGCGCCATCCCTGCCAATGCAAAGAGGACAAGCGTGAGACGAAGCGCGGAACGAACATCACGATCGGTGACCAGGCAAAGCGGCAGGAAGCAGCAGGAGAGAAAATCAGAGCTGCGGAGAGGCAGCCTCATCTCGGTGTTTCGCACCCACCGCCGGAGCCGCTGGGCTAAAGGGGACTCAGCCTCCCGGAGACAAAGGCACGGGCTCTGGTTAACTCCGTTCAGCGGCTCACGTCCACTCGATAACTTCAGGGGGAAATCTTCACTCACAGGGCAGCGAGGTAGAAAATAAACAAACAGCCCGGCCGGGCGGGGCTCAGCGGTTGGGCGTCGACCTGGGATCCAGGCGATCGGGGTCCGATTCCCGGTCGGGGCACAGGCCCGGGCTGCGGGCTCGATCAGTGGCTCTCTCATCATGGATGTTTCTGTCTCTCTCTCTCCCTCTCCTTTCCTCTCTCTGACATCAATAAAGATATATTTTAAAAAGGGAATAAATAAGCATCCCCCAAAGTAAATGCTTTCCCGTGGCCGATGGTGACGGCGGAGACGCTCCCCCTCCCCTCACGCCTGCTCGTCCGCAGAACGAGACGTTTTAAGGAGACACGTCAGTGGCCGCCCAGCCCCCCTTGCAGCTGTGTGTGACCCCGGGACTGGTCTGATGAATGGCGTCTGAGCAGAAGTGACATTTTCCCACACTGTGCCCTGAGAGGGAGTATCCCCTCCTGTTTCCGTTGCTCATTTTATACCTTTGGTAACGAGGTGGTGATAGGAACAGGAGTAGCCTCAAGTTAAAGAGGTCAGAGCAACAGAGTAGAGGGGCCCCAGGTCCCCAGCGCCAGGGAGGTCCTGTGACTGCCCTGCGGCCTTACGTGAGAGATAAATGACTCTCCGCCCCTTAAAAACTCTGACTAAACACTGCTTTGTATGTTCCACATAAGTGTATATATACACATAAAAGTATTTAAAACAGAATGTTATTTGTATTATTGTTTTAATCATTTAATAAACACCCATATGTCATTTGTGTAATTATTAAAGCCTAGAGACTGGAGAAAAAAAAAAAAAATCAGGTTTATCAAAAGGCTGAGAGTGGCCCGGCTGGCGTAGCTCAGTGGACCCGTGATCCAGGATGTCTCAGTTCAGTTCCCCGTCAGCACACATTCTGCTTTGAACTGAACCTCATTTTAAGATTTGACTGGTTCAGAACTATCGTATTTCCTGATATTGGCCAATTAACAAGAATTATGGAGTGCCAACACTAGCACTGTCTTAGGTGTTTTGAGTTTTTTTTAAAGATTTTTTATTGACTTTTTTTAGAGAGAGAGAGAGAGAGGGAGAGGGAGAGAGAAACATCAGTGTGAGAGCGAAACATCCCCAGGCTGCCCCCTATTAGGAATCGAGCCCGAAATCCAGGCATGCGCCCTGACCGGGAATCGAACTCGCAAACTTTCAGTGTATGGGGCAATCCCAACCAACTGCGCCACACTGGCCAGGGCTAGAATTATTATTATTATTTTCATAAAAATACATAATAAAAGAAAAATATAACTTAGTGCCAGAACTGGACCAAAGGAATAAGTTATATAATAGTCACCAAGTGGGAAAAATGGAAGAAAGATAAGAACTGGAACTTCCTGAGAAAAGTTTGGTGGTGGGTTTAAAAATGTTCACTATAAAATTCTTACAATTTTTCTGTTACGTTGAAAATGTTGTCATTAAAATGTTGGGAATACAAGGATAAATTACATTTGGTAAATTTCCCAGGGAAGAGGGAAATGTGATTATGAGATTAAAGGTGCACTTGGCCTATCTGAGATACTGAGAACGCAGGGCGGTCCAGGGAACAGGACATATAGTAAGAGACGTGAGCAATAAGACTGGAGTGAACACTTGTGTTTTTTTTGCTCTGTTTTGTTCCTTAGCGATATGGAAATCTCCATGACTCCAATATTTCTGTAAACCATGTCGAACAAAAGCCGCAGCACGGCACAAGGCCTCTCTACGAGCTGGCTCCGGCCACCCTAAACCTATAAAGTATCTTCACCCTTCATCTCCAGATAGGCACCATTTGACTGCATTTACAACTAAGATCCCATCTCAAATTTCAGCCATTAAAATGCCACCCATAGATTCTGCAAAAATAGTTCATCATAAAAATTAACAATACAGTGGCTAGCTTTTTATAGAAAGAGAAAAAGCCTATTAAGTGGTAACCATCAGCGAGGAGAGGGAGGCCCGGTAGGCTTTGTCCTGTAGTAACCACTGAATTTGGATTTCAGCATCCTATATTATTTTCCAATTTAATAGGAAAGCAGAAGTGCCATCGTTAAGTACAATTGAAAGGCCCTGTGGACTTTACGCCAACAATGCAGCAACTTAAAAAACGTGTAAATGAAACAGCCAGGTACTTATCTGCAGCCCAAACAAAGCAATCAGAGGACTTTGGGTCATTTCACCATAAACCAATAATATTTTCAATTGGCAAGAGAACGTATTTCCAGTATCAGAACACTTACTAAATAGCTGAAACATCTATGTCGCATTATTTAGCATTTAGGCTGCATGTGACATTGACTTTACAAAAATTAAGAAGGCCCTGGCCGGTATGGCTCAGGTGGTTGAGTGTCCTCCTGAGCACCAAAGGTCACCGGCTCAATTCCTGGTCAGGGCACATGCCCAGGCTGTGGGCTCCGTCCCAGGCTGGGGTGCGTAAGGAGGCAACTGCTCCGTGTTTCCCTCTCACATAGATGTCTCTCCCTCTCTCCCCCTCTTCCTTTCTCTCTAAAAATCAATTTTTTTTAAAAAAACATTAAAAAAATTAAGAGAGCCTGTAAAATGCATCCTTCTCGAAAGAAAAATCTCAAAAACCCTTCAAAAATCAAAACTAACACATAGGGGTGAGTCAGGGGAAATAAGCAGACGGTAACATTGAGAACCTAAAACCAGAAGGGCGCAGAATACACGGGGGGAGTGTCAGAAAGTGGGCGCCAGGCGGCGGCAGGAGAGCCGGGAAAACGGCCCGGCAAGGGCCCGTGGGCCCGTTCCCGGGGTTCCGTCCCCCAGGTACCGGCCCCGCCCGCCCTTTACCTCCCTCGAGACCTCACACCCGGCCAAGTGTCTAAGACGCTTCGTCCTCGTTTCCTAATTCCTTTCCCAGCGAGCCCGTCCCTGCCCGGCTTGCCCAAGGTCTCCGCAGGCCCGGGGACGCGGGACAGGCGCCGTTTCTAGTAAAGAGGTTGGGCGAAGGCTTCGCTCCTCGGCTCTCGGCTCCTGCGAGGCCGCCGCCGGCCAGCAAACGCTGCGCTGCGCTGCGCTGCCGGGTGAGAAGTGCCGGTCGTTGTCTGACACCGACAACAACAGAAAGTCCCCCGCTGCCGGATGCCTCCAAAGGAAGGATCTTCAGCATCCTGCCCCAATCCAGAGGTGCAGGCCAGCAAGTGACAGCAGGACTCAGGCCAGGGTGACAATGTCGCCGGGAGTTACATAGCCTTTAAACTCGGTTTCACCACAGGGCGTTTCAGGAAGGTGAATGCGATAACCGTGGCCTCCCTCCCGGGCCCGAATGGGCGAATTTTTGAAAAGAACCTGATTTCAGGGTCTCGGGAAAGTCCCGTCCTGACCCCTGCTCCTCATGCCTCAAATGCGACGCCTCCCTCCCCAGGCGACAAGTGCCTCTGGGCGAACATAAGACGCCAACCCAAACCTACGTCAAGGGATCAGGCGCAGAAACGCGGTTTCTCCTCTGATCAGGGCTGGGCACAGAAGTCGGAGGGTGTCTCCAAATAACAGCGGCCACCAGCCCCCAAAGGGGCAAAGGGGGGAAGGCGAGGTCACGGGAAGGTGGGACTGGGAGATGCCACCTGACCGGCCCGGGGGCTGTTACTACTCTTAACAGGACGATAAATGTAACAGAAGCATGGACTCCGGCAGCAGGGAAGCACATTAAGGCTCTGAGGGGCAGCCTGTCAAAAATAAAACCCGTCCAATCCACGGCCCGAAGTTCTGGAAGGCTGCCCGCAGCCCATGGCGGCAGCCGCGTGTCCGCGGGGAGGGCTCGCCCCGGGAAAGAATCCACCAGGCGAGGGGCCCCCGCGGCGGGGGAAGGGAGCAGCCACCAAGCACGGCGGGAGCGGCCGTGGTCCCTTCACCTTCCAGGGCCAGCGACGTGGCCCACACTTGAAATGGCAACAGAGGCCAGGTGACAACGTGCAGTATGTGTTTTTTTAAAAAAAGGCAGATATTTCTTAAACGTAAATTAGCTCACAGGCAGGACGTCTTGTAGCCACTAAATGCGACTTTCCCTCTGAGTCCAGAGAGGGTCCATCCCAGGGCCAGGGCACAGAGGGCCAAGAGGAACGGGGACATCTTGTTACGCCAGCGGAGGAAGAAGTGGTCAGAAAACGATGCCCACACGTCCAAGGGGCCCGTCTGAAGGTGTCCCTACCGGCTAAATGTGGGGAGATTTGATCGCCTACATAGTTAATGTCAGTCATGATCATAAGCCATTGAAAAATACCTGATTTTCTGAAATTATACAATATTAGAGAACTGGGTGTTTAGCTTCAAAGGGTAAATTAGGCAGTGCTCATTTTAATTTAGTGTAACGCCATAAAAGTATTTTATAAATTGATGTTTAATAAAACGCAAAATGTTATTTTAAAATAAGCTTCCTTTGGGATCGTTCTCAGATAGAGGTTAGAAATGAAGTTCCCGGTGCAGGTACAGAAATTGGCCTTCAATGAATCAATTATCCTTCTAAATAATTTCCGAAGTATAACTGTTTTCCTGACTAAAGTTTCCACTACTTTTCAGTTGTTATATCGGCACATTCAATCATTAAGTGACTTTGGGATCCAGTCATAAAATGCAAAGCGTGTGCANCGGCACATTCGATCATTAGCTGACTTTGGGATCCAGTCATAAAATGCAAAGCATGCGCTTGGGACTACTTAACATGCACAGTGTCTTGTTAGTGACCATTGGCCCCGGTTTTCAACGGTCAGGCCCCTGC